GCTATGCTACTGCTCGAGTTGGCAGCAGACCATAGCAGTGTTCATGTGATGTTGGTTTTGTAGGCATTCAAAATGTAAAGTTATAATATTGTGGAGGCTTCTAGTCAGATTTCAAAGGAAGGCTCAGGAGGTCAATGATAGAACAATAATGTGGCCATTTTGTGAATCAGCCAAAATGGCAGCCCTGCCCTTAAACAAATTCCCGTGCTCTAAGACAGCCCCACCCCTACCAGAGACTACTGCGCATGTACTAACTTCCTTACCCTCCCCCTTCTATAAAAGCCACTGCTCGCCTAGACACGGGGTTGCGCCATCTTTTCCCTGGCCAGCCTGGCAGTTTGGACCTACCATTAAACTCTGCTCTATGGACGTGAGACTTTTCTTTTGAGTTTTCTTTGAGAGCGGCGTTTTTCCTAACAGTCAACAATGTGTGAAAGGATCAGAATCACTGCAGACAACCTGAGAGGGGAATGCATGAAGCTGTGGGGGTGAAACTGAAATTGGAGATCTCAGGAATGTGGAACATGTGCTAAGGAAAGCCACAGACAGCAAATGGAGTCAGCCCGACTCCATTTGCAAATAGCAAAGCCACAAGGGAGAGTCTTCCCATGCCCATGGGAGCTCCCATCATACCACATGCCCCGGATGATGGAAACAGAGCTGCAGGATTTATTTTCACCCAATTGGGTCTTGGTCTTTGATATAATTTTTCCTTGCTGTTCTCATGTTGCTCCCTTTTGAAATGGGTATGTTTACAGCATACCACTGTATTTTGGAAATAAGTAACTTGATTTTTATAGAGGTTCGCAATTAAGAGTTCTCTTGAGTCTTGGAGACTTTGAACTTGGGCTTCTGAACAATTTTGGAAGTGTTAATATGGGACTCATGGATATGGACTGAATGCATTTTGCCTTATGAGATGGCTCAAAGTCCTTGGGGGCAATGGAGAGGTTGTTATGTTTTGGATATGAAATGTCTTCCAAAGGCACATGTATTGGCGTGGGGGGGGGGGCTGGTTCTCATTAGGTAGCATCATTTTGGAAGGTTCTGGGAACTTTAGGAGGTGGGCCTAACTAGAGGAAGTAGGTCACCGAGAACATGCCTTTGAAGGTTATACTGGGTCCCAGGGTCCCTTCTCTCTCTGCCTTCTGTTTGCCATGGGGAGAACAGTTCTCTACTGTATTTTCCTACTGCCATGATGTTCTGCCTAAGTGTATGGGCTAAACCCTCTGAAAGAATGAGTTGAAATAAATCTTTCCTCCTTTTAGTTGCTTATGTTCACTATTTTGACCCAATGAGGAGAAAAGTAAATAATAAACATGGTACAAGTTTACTTAGTATGAATAATTATTTAAAATATCAATAGAAAAATAGGCCAGGTGTGTGGTTCACACCTGCAGTCCTAGCTACTCAGGAGGCAGATATTGGGAGGACTGTAGTTTGAGCCATCTAAGGGAAAAAGTTAGTGAGACCCCATCTCAATAAAAAGCTGGACAAAGTAGTGCATACCTATCACCACAGCTGTTCAGGAGGTATAAATTGGAAGAGCACAATCAAGGATGGCCTGGGTGTAAACACAAGAACTTATTCCAAAAATAACAAAAGCAAAAGGGGGTAGGGGGCATGGCTCAAGTGGTAAAGTGCCTGCCTAGCAAGTTCAAGGAATTGAATTCAAACCCCAATACTGAAAAAAAAAAAAAAATCCACAGGAAAATAAATTGGATTACAAATAATGATACCAAAAGGTTTTTTAGGAACTCAAGAAATCAAGTTGGGAAACTTATATGTACATAACATTTGGATATTTTAAAGTAATTCTATATTTAATCACTTTAAAAGTTTCTTATTAGTGCCCTAAGGAAATTAAATAATAACCATCCCCCAAAGGAAAAGATCTTTCATGAAATTCAAGAACGTTTTTCTTCACCTGAATATTTTGGTAGCTTGTGTGCTTTGGAGATAAAGCTATAGTTAAGTAAGATTGCTCAATAATTCAAGTTTAAAGAACATGCCTTATTTTAACCTTTGATGTACATTAATGTTTTCAAAATATCCACTCTAAAAAATTATTTTCTTCATCTTCCATAAATTATGCAGTAGGCAAAGCTCTAACTATCTAATTGTTAAAGATTTGGGGTTAGAAGACCCCAAATCTTTGAAGTATTTGAATGAAGGTCATTTCTATAAACATCTGATGCACAAGGTAAGAAAAATTAGTTGTATACATATTGAAAAGACAAGCTGAAATCTAGAAGTGAGATTTCTTAAAGATAAATAACTGGTATGTATGTAGCATAAAAGCATAAAGTTAAATAATGGCTTTGGAGAAGTTTTAGAGTAAATATCATTAACTTTGTTACATGTCATTATTTTCCTCAACGACAAAAAATATTTCACCCAAAGATGATTTTTCAAGTGAATTTTTAATGTGATAAACAGTTTTAGAAAGCACTCAAAAAAGTACTGTTTTCTGTAGACTGATCTTACATGTTTCATTTTTAAACTTTAAATCTTAAATACCAGTTGAAAGTATAACTAATGATCATCTTAAGACAAATCAAATATGACATGTGGTTTAAAATATACATGTTTATAATTTACTTACCTATTATATAGCAAACATTGATTTTCTAAGAATCAGTTTTCAATGGAAATACTGTAAAAAAAATTAACCATTTTCTAAAACACAGTGGATATTTAGGCCTTGGTTCAGAAAATAAAATGTTATATCTTTTTGCTTGAACAATAGAAAAGAAGTTACATAGTTGGGTTGTATTATTTTCACTCAGGCATACATAGAGTAAAGTATTCTTATTAGATTTCAGTAGGATACAAATTGGATTGAATTAGTGAAAGTCAGATGTTCTAGAATATTTTAAAAAGATTCATTACTTTATTATTTTCATGTAAAAATAATTACTCCCATTACCTGCCTACAAAATGTTGTTAAGAAGACTGAGATTCTGTTAATGAATAAATAAGACTTTGTTAGTAAATGTGGTACCCAGAATCTTAATGAAATCCCACACAAGCTTGATGGCTGTTTGGGGAAGTACACAATAGGTAAGGAACAGCTACAAGACTCAATCTTCTGAGGTCTTATTCATATTAACCAGTGAGTTATTAACCAGACAGGGCTAGGCCAGAGTTCTAATGAATACACAACATTTCTTTATCCCAGTAGCAAATCAGTACTTGGTTTCATACTATGCAACATAGCTTCTGCATGTTCTTTACTATCTTTTCAAAAATTCAGCAGGGAAAAGAGAAATTGATTCTTTTAAGGCAGCACTATAGTATTTCTGGTTCGTTTTGGTCATGAAACAGAAATGGAAGCATGATCTGTACTGTTTATGTTCACTTTGGTTTAATCATGAGAAAATGCTGCTTACATTGAAGACCTGTCCACATTTAACACATTTATTTTGGAGTACAGAAGGTACAATACATTTTTACTGACTGACACTTTTCTCAATCTTCTTTTCTAAAGCTCAGTTTGCCAATGGAGAGTGTATTCAATTTTGTATTCCTAATTCATTAGCTTTGTCAGTTGTATCCAGAAGCTTTGTCCAATCAGCGCTCTTCTTAATCATTCCAACCCCAGGGCTAGATAATTACCACAAGGCAGGAAGTATGAGGTTTTGACTTCAAATGCCAGGTTCTAGGTATCAGTGTTCAGTCTGAGAATCACAGAAAATTTTTACCATGTTCATGTATAATTTCCAAGTATACTGAAATTTGTGATTCTAATGTTAAAATTCTTGTACTTACCCAGGTTAACTACTTTTCCACTAAAATAGGTTTTATTTAGCTGTACCAAAAAAATCTCCTTTATATTTATGCTAATAAAATGGATATAACATTTTTATAAGAGAAAATCTTTCTAACTTGGTTTGATTCTAAGAAAACTACTTCATATGTATTTGTCCTTCATTTGGAAAATATAAAAGCAAAGCTGTAAAATAATATCAATTCTCTGTCAAAAAGCTGTAACTTTGAAGAAAGAAATATTTTCTATATGTCCTTAAATTACCATTAAGTATATATACAGACTTAGAAAATAAGTTAAGGAAGGAGGAAATTTAAAACAGCACTGTCTTCATTTTATTTTCTTTGTTTAGTTTGTCTGCTTTTACATAACTTTTTTGTAAAGATTGAACTGGAAATCTGGCCTTTGAAAAATTTTAAATGATGGAAAATTAAAAAAACAAACAAAAAAACACAAACCAAAAACCAGCACAAACTACTTTGCCATTTTTATAAAAATGCTAAAACAGCAAAGACAATAATAGTATTTCATATAGTAAGGAGAGTTTTTTTTAAACTGCAGGTAGGTACAGTATTTACTTTTAGGTTATTTCGTAATCTGTTTATCATAAAGGATTGTGATTTTAGAATAATAATCCTTTTGATGGAAATGCTACTAATATTTGGAATTTTATCAAGGAATGGGGCAGGAAGATGCGTAATTATTTTTTGTTTGTCAAATTGCCCTTTGTTTCAAGGTGCCCAAGAATACCGATTCAGCTAAAGTTGTAGAACTAAAAAAATAATTCTTCAGAGAACTAAGAATAAACAGTACCATTAACTCCAGCTAACTAAGAATATTGCTAATAATACTTACTGGAAAAGAGAAGTTTCAAAGACAACCAATTCTTTATGGCAAGTAGTTACTAAAGCTGTTATAGCAAATCAGAAATTTTCTTATATTACATAAAAGTAACTCTAAGTTCTCACAGTTTTCTGCTAGAAACTGTTCTACTAAGCTGAATGCAGTTTCCTAAATGATCCAGATGGTACCATACCTATTTGACTTCCCAGAAACCACCCATCATCATTCAGTAAAATAGTATGCTAATATACCTATTCATAGTTAAGAACCTCCCCAAAGAACTCTTAACAGCATGAAATACTACTCAAATTCAGGAAAAACTATCACATTCTATTTCTAACAACTTGATAGTAAGGGTGAGGAAAAGTTCTCAATCTTCTCCACTTACCCAAGAGTTTTGCGATGATATAAAGGGCTTGTCCCCAAAGAAACAGTTTTCCATCACGACCACAGTTGCTAGGAAACCGCTTTTGACTACCAGGATTTCTTTTCTCATATTCTACAAAGTCAGCTGGCACATAATAGTACTTTGGTATGACAGGATATCCTACAGAGTTTAAAAATAAATATATTTAAAATACAACAAGTCAATGTCCTTCGCAAATTTCCCTTTAAGAACCTGCAATGACTAGACAGCAAAGAGAGAGAAAGGTGGTACAGGAGATAATAGATTTGATAAGCTATAATAGAATGGGACATTCTGGTTCCTTTGAGAGACTGCCAGTGGAAAACATGGAGAAAAGCATCTTGATTTTAAAACTAACTCAACAGCACACTGCTTTAGCCAAAAATGTGTGCAAATCTCCTTTAACAGTTAATTTCAACACCTTTAAATGAATGAAATAATATACAGTATGCAAACATTTAGAGGCATATAAGAAGCTATTTTTAATAAGATAGTTTGTGAAAGCTTCACAAATTAGATATTGTGTAATCTTAAATGAAGACTTATAACCTGAAGCCATTGCTTAGAGAAAAGAAATCCCTAATTAAATATATCTGCCATTTGATATCATTGAAGGGAAAAAAGTCCACCTTTTCCTGTGACCAACCCATTTAAAAATATTCCTTTGGAAAAGAAAAATATTATTTATATAAAGAACAGAATTTTTGTAGAGGGCTAGAGAAGATGTTTTGTAAAGCCAACCCACAATAAACTTAATCTTCCTAATAAAATTGTGCAGTTTCCCTATTGCTTCCTTCTTCATCCATCAACCAATAGTGATAAGTGTATCTAAAATCCACCAACAACAGGTGTTGGCGAGGATGCGGGGAAAAAGGAACCCTTTTACATTGTTGGTGGGAATGTAAACTAGTACAACCACTCTGGAAAAAAATTTGGAGGCTACTTAAAAAGCTAAACATTGATCCACCGTTTGATCCAGCAATGCCACTCTTGGGGATATATCCAAAAGACTGTGACACAGGTTACTCCAGAGGCACCTGCACACCCATGTTTATTGCAGCACTATTCACAATAGCCAAGTTATGGAAACAGCCAAGATGCCCCACCACTGATGAAATGACCCAAGCATTGTATGCACATATGAATAATAAAAAAATAAAAGTTAAAAAAATAACCAATGAAAAGGTCTGTGATATCTAGAGAATGAACCCTAACATAGAGTTGAATCTCCATGCATCAAATGATCTATTTTTGTCTATTACTCAATACGAAATGATCAGCCATAAATATTTTACAACTTTTAACATTACAAGTTTTTTCAAGGATGAACACCAAATATGAAGTATTTATCCAGAGATATTTGTGGAAACCCCAAAGAATATCATAAACTTCACGAGATAGGAATGAGGCCCAGTGCTGTGAATGATACTTTATGCATGATGTCCATAGATCATTCATTTTTTTATATTGGCGCTACTTATTTTTTTGGGGGGGGTTTAGGACTGGGTTTTGAACTTAGGGCTTCAAGATCACAAAATGGGTGCTCTACCACTTGGGCCACGCCTTCAGCCATTTTGCTCTGGCTAGTTTGAAGATGGGATTTTGTGAACTATTTGCCCAGGCTGGCCTTGAACCACAATTCTCCCAATTTCAGCTTCTTAAGTAGCTAAGATTGAAGGTAGAAGCCATGGCACCCATCTTAATTTTTAACTTTCATATAAATATGTTTTCAAAGCTATTCTCTCATGAGGATATATTCCTATTCTACTGCCTTACCCCAAAGATATCTAGAACACTGCTTTTGGAATTTCTTTGAGAATTAATTTTGGAGTTATACAGAAAAGTCAATTATGTTCTTTTATGGTCTCTGCTGGAGTTTGACTGCAACCTTAGACTGGCAGTTTTGACTGATTTTAAAATATTAAATTCATCCTCAAAGAATGGCAGACATTCAAAATACAATTCTCAAGGCCCTAGAAGCAACTCCAAAGAGGAGGCTACAATTTTCTTGGCAATGCTAGTGCCTTTAGATGACAGTAGAGTCTACTTCTGTAGGCTACCTTCTGGGGGAGTAGCGCAGCACTTGCCTCACCACAGACCTTTTGATGACCTGGATAAAATCCAGTCACTTTATATTATTATAATGCTATACAGAGTGAAGGAGTTATATAATAAGCAACAGGTGAAAAACTGCCCACATGCAAACTACCTTAGCATAACTATAGCCACGATCACCAAAATTCATTTCTATCCTTGTCTTATCTAATGAGCTCCTTTTGTTAAATTATATTTTATTAAAATAAAATATGATTATTCTTTCAATTTCAGATGTGGTGTCACTAATTTTTTCAGTTTAATATAAATTATTATGTTTTATAAAGGATTCATTTATACATTTCAAATGATCATTAAGGAAACACTGAAAAAGCAACTCTACCTTCCATGGTCTGATGAAGTACTGGAGTCAAAAGATCTTGATATTCCTTTACTTGTTTGGGATTGCCTCTAAAGACTCCTAAAACACAAAATCCAATAGCTTTGTACTCAATAAGCGTCACAAAAGTTTTGCCTTAGAAAAATCTACTAGCCCTTGTAATTTTATGTAATAAAACTGAGAAAGTTAACACAAATGTATGTGATAATTTTTTAAAAAACTGATTTTAGAAAGTCATGTTAGCATTTAGAACTGAAAACTGAATTTTAATTGAAATTTACCTATGCTTAAGCCTACATGTTACATTCAATGTTATAATTATAGTATTCATAATTCTATAACTTTTTGTAAATATGAATTACATTAGAATCATTTTTAAAAATCTTTCAATGATTTAACAATTCACTTAGAAAGTAGAACAGCATTTAAAATGCAGAGTTGTTAACATCATTGAAGTATAGTCTATTTGCTACTTGAAAGGAGTCATATTTCATTTCTATTCTTCAAACCACAACTCCTATAGCTTAAATTTTAGGAAAAAGCTCACTTACCGTCAATCATCATGTAAAGGAAAAAGATGGGAAATTCACATTCGATGCCATCAAATAGCTAAAACAGAAAATAAAACATTAAATCTTCCACTTATGAATTAGGGCAACTATATTTAGGCTATATGTAAAAGATTTATTTATAGTAATAAAGTTGGAACTGATTTTGTAAGTAATTTCATTGTTCTGCAAAACAATTCTCAGGCTCTTATTCAAAAGCTCATTGACTCAACCCATTAAACAGCAGGCATTCAGCAAATATTTACTAAGCATGTATTAATACCTAGCACCAACTAGACACAGAGCTATGAAGACAAAAGATGGATAACCTGCTCTTAAAAGGCTCATAGCTCATTGTAGAGGATGGCACATAAATAAGCAACTACAGTGTAGTAAATGGTATATCAGGAACACAGGGAATGAAATATCTGAGTCTCCCATGATGCCAGTAGCACCTATCCAAGAGACAGCCCAAAATGTCTGCAGATATTGTCAAATGTCCCCTGGAGAACAAAACTGCCCCAGATAATAGACCACTATCTTAAGCCTCAGAATAATAGAGGGAAAGAGACATAATTTTATGATTTCTAAAGAGGCTAAAATTCTGCCATCTTTTGTGACTAACAAAGGTGGATGAGTAGGAATGAGGAGCTAGAATGACTCAGGCTCGGGGTGTGACAGAGGAGGTGGGAGATGGATAAAGACAGACTGTAGGACATCTAAGTGGAGCTGTCCAAAAGGCAGCTGCATACATGGATAGTGCATTTGTGGGGAGAGTTCTGAGTTAGGGATAGCAATTATTATTAGCAATGACAGCTGTCAGAACATGAGTTAAATGAAAAGCAAAATTAGGCTGAAGATGGATTATAGGTGAAGAATAGGAACCTGTAAGAAGTACAATAAGAGAAGTAAGTAGAGAATCAGGAAAAGAATGGGGTCACAGCAAAAGAAGAATGTTCTAAGTGAGATGACTCTGTTAAGACACACAAATTTCAAGGAAAGGTTCAGTGAAATAAGGTCAGAAAAGCATCTACCTAGTGATCAGAAATGAAGGAAGTCAGCACAGCTACTGGGCATGGTGAGAGAAGATCCAGATTATAAGGGCCCTGGGTGAGTGACAGGCAAATAAGGCCTGTACACCAAGTATAGACTTTCCTTCCACAAGGGTGGCTACAAAGAGGAAAAAGGATGGGAGGCAGATAGGAATAGGATTTGTGTTGCTTCTTAAATAATGACCATCAATGTATTTATGTTGAGGAAAAGAAAGTGATTTAAACTGGGGAAACAAAACAAAGGAAAGGCAGAAGTGGGGAAGATGAGAAGAAAGAAGAAACATACATTCTTTTACCAGAGAAGAAACTCAGTGAGAATCCCAAGAATGAAAAAGATCTAACATTGCCTGGACATTTTTAAAGACACAAATAAATAGAGACATTGCATGTCTTCATTAGTATGTCAAAGTTAAGAGCATGTTTACAAAATAAAATTTCTAATTGCTTCACTAAAGCAAAGTCTTTAGTAATGTGCATGGATGATTACTTTTTTGGGAAGTATTAAAGCAGCTAGTATATACCTGGAAGTACTGTTAGATATGTGTGATTTTTTTTTCTTTGTGGTACTAGGGATTAAACCCAATTCTGTGTATTTGAAATTTAAACTATTTAAAAACTAAATAGAGAAGTATCTAAATGAAATTTAAATGAGGAAGAAGAGAAGGAACATGGTTTTAATGAGAACATTTACCAATAGAGTAAAAACTATATCACAAACAGAACCTTGATATTATGTAAGACAAGTAGGCAAAAGGTGAAAATGAGATAAAAAACTGTGCAATCAATGAATTGATGTGGCCTACTATGAGCAGAAGACCTCATGGTAATAAAAGTTAACATTTATTGAGCTATGTATCAAGCACCATTCTAAGCATATTTTATACATTAACTCATTTAATCCTTATGAGAACCTCATGGTATAGATACTACCATTATTTTACCAATGAATAATATTAAACACAGAGGTTAATTAACTTGCCAGACACCATACATCTATGAAGTGGCAGAGCTGGAACTCAAATCTAAGAAGTTAGACCCCTGAATCACTTTTGACCTCTCTTATTGCTGCTAATGTAGAATATTTTTTGGTACCTTAATTTCAGCTGGTTTGTAGTAGCGTCTGTTGGGATCTTCCAATGATGTTCTATACCCATCTCTCAAGAAACGCTTAAAGCCATATTTTCCTTTTAATTTTCTAATGACTTTATCAAGTGTCTGGCTGAACAGAACTTCATCATCCAGGGCAAATGCAGGATAAGTGATGCATGGGAGCAGGGCAGCATCTGTGTTCTAGGGTCAGTAAGAAAAAAGTTTGTAAATCTGCAGTGATATGTTTAACACAGCCCAAGGTGGATCATGGAGATAAAAGTTAAAAAGGTTACCCACTGACAGTGAGCTTGCTGTATTCCAAGGGACAGAGATGTTTGTAGGGCATGTTTCAGAGAACATGATAGAAGAGATAAAAGTTTATTAGTAAAGACAATTTTCAAAGTTCAACAATGTGCTCAAACTTTAAAATAAAGCTACATATAAAAATTAAATGGCTGCTGGGCACCAGTAGCTCATGCCAGTAATCCGAGCTATCTGAGGGGTTGAGATTGAAGGATTGTGGTTCCAGGCCAAACCGGGCAAGAAAGTTCTGAGAACCCATCTTATCAGAAAAAAAGCTGGCTGTGGTGGCACTCACCTATTATCCCAGAGGTGGGAAGCTTAAAATAGGAGGGTCATGGTCCAGTCCTGCCTCAGCAAAAAAAAAAATGAGATCCTAGCTCCAAAATAACCACAGCAAAAAGGGCTAGAGTTATGGTTCAAGGCATAGAACACCTGCCTAGCAAGTGCAAAGCCCTGACTCCAAACCCCAGTACTGTCCCCTGCCCCAATATATTTTAGTTCCTAATAATTATCACAATTTAGTTTACCATAACAATTTACCTTTAATAGTGAAAAAAGAGAAACAACCTAACAATTAGTTGAGTAAATTAGTAACTACTAAAATTTATACTGCAGAAGCAATTAAAATTTATATTTTAGAAATTTACTGATATAGAAACATGTTCATAGAAATTAGGATATCAATCATTGAAAAATAAAAATATCATTTATGTGTATAAAATATGTAGAAACATATGTATCTGAATGGTGTTAACCTAAGATGCATATGAATGGTAGACTAAATGGACTGTATAGCATTCAATGAGAGAATACTTGTGATGTTTTTCCTTGATCATAATCTTATAATACCTATATCAATTATTTTTAACTGGTCAAAAATTATTCTACTTTGGATATTTTTAAAGAACAGAACCACAAATAATCCCTAGAAAAATGTGCAATCAGATACATAAAATAACACAAAAGTTCACTGAAGAAAAAAGCGAATCAAATGAGAAAAAATGAAACATTAAAGAAAATTGTATTCAAAAGAAATGTATTTAACTTTCCTTTTTATTGGATACTGGATCTCTCACTATATTCCACAGGCTGGTCCAAGACTCTTGGGCTAAAGTGATCTTCCCACCTCAGCCTCCTGAGTGGTGGGACTTCAGGTATATACCATGGTGCTAAGCTGAAATGGAATTTTTCTAATATTCTGTGACAAAAAAAGATTCATTTGGTTTAAACTGCTACCTCCCCCAAAGAGAAATACTATCTATTTTCTATTGTTCTACAAAAGACTCAAAGGGAAAAACATCTTTGTGCACAGCTGTTTACTTCTTAAGACTTCCAGAGGCACAATATCTATCATGTCTTTTTATACTTATGGATGACCTCTAATATTGTAGAGTGTTTTCTTGGAAAAGAAGGGAACACTATATAAAAATCGTAAGTGATGGTTCATTTTGTTTTATTGTAAAAACATCTCACATGCGATCTTGATTCTCTGGGTAACAGTGAACACAAAGTTTGCCTGTTGCGATTGTGAGCATCGAGATCCACAAATATAACTGACCAAGAACAGCCCTGGAAAGAGAAAAAGAAACACATTTCAAGGAATTGTAAACCACTTGGTATTCTTACTGTGAGACATTTCACAAAGACACTAATAATGATTGCATTAAAGTATGGGATTTCTAAAGATCTTAATTTTCTTTAAAAAATATTTTTCTATTTCTTGTAATGAACATATTAATCACATAATCATAAATTGTTATTTTCACTTGTTTCTTATGCATATATTGACTTTACAAGGAAATCAACAAATTGCAATATTTTTATGAAGATATAAATATTTTAGCTAACATGACAAGGAATAAAGCAATAAATAATTTGGATTCATAAAATCTGAATTGCTCATTCCTCACAAAGAATGCTTATTATATGATTAAACAAATTTAGATATGATCTAGAATTATGGCTATAGAAATATTTATCTTAAATCAAAATAATATAAGTAACACTAGCTATTTTTCACTATGAATCAGGAACTGTATTCTCATGGTTTATCACATTAAATAACCATATGCAGATATTATCCCCACTTAATTGAAAAGTGTACTAGGCCTTAGTTAAACAGTAAGTATATAAAATCAAGTCTGACACAAAAACCCATCACTAGGTTATATAATTTCACACACTAAAACAAATCATGCCAGAGGCATGGCTCAAGTGGTAGAGTACTTGCCTGGCAAGCTCAAGTCCCTGAGTTCAAACCCCAGTACCACCTGTACATATGTATGTATGTATGTATGTGTGTGTGTGTGTGTGTGTGTATTTCAAGTAAGAACAAAAACCTTGAATAAAAAGACAGGCATAACAGGAAGTGTCAATTGGTCTTCTAAGACATTAACGCAATTTTTGCCATTTAGCCATTTAATGTACTCCTTTCCTTTACTGGAAAGCTAAATATTTAAAATCAAACAGAAAAAATTAGAATACAAAAACTTCTTCCATAACAAGGATATACTCAAAAATATGTGGGGGAAAACCCAGAAATATACAACTCATGTTGTTTCAGTATCATTCTAAATTGCATCTTAATCCTCACCAGCTTCAAAGATGCACTCACCCCAAAACTAAAATACCTTGAATCAATCACCTGGATTGAAACTTCACATATCTAGTAGCACCAGAACCCAGCTCTAAATATCAGACTTACTAGATGTATATTCTTCCTGGTAACCCATGTTCATACATGCGTATTAGCTTGTAACATAGAATGGTTTCTCATTCAGAACATCATTTTTAAAAATCTTTAACTACCACAAGTGAAATAACAAATGAATAGGAATGAGTAAGTCTGTCTCTCAACAACCAGATTCATGCCAAATTCTGCAAAAAGCAGAGTACTGTGCACTCTGCTTTTAGAAAAACATAGTTGAACTTGACTCTCAGTTGATAGACAGTCCTGAACAAGACAATTATTAAATACACAAAAAACTGCACATGGAAATACATGACTACATACTATGCAAGTGGCTTAGATGGAAGAATAATAATTATACTAAGTTCCCAGCAAAACTGGAAAATGTGAGGACCAAAGCTAGGATGTCGATTTTGTCATAATTAGAACAAAAGCAAAAGTAGAACAGTTAGAACAAAACAATAGGAAAATAAATGGGTATAATATGTTAGGAGACTATGATATACAAATAATAGAAGCTATAATTTATCTTTAGGCCAATACTTAATAGAGTTAATTTCATGCCAAACTGTCTGCCTGGAATTAAATTTTTAAAGATATAATCTTAATTGGATAGTTTAGAAATAATGAAATGAAACAGCAAATTTGGCAATTCTCTCCATTATTTGATGATGTGAACAACCAACTTCTATTTTCTGGCCACAAATAAATGGCTTACTTATCTAAATTCAGCAATTATTTGCTCAGGTCTCAGTTTTCCTCTGCTATCCTTTAAGATATGTGCCCAAAGAGAAAAATAATCTCACAATGTTCGCATATTTAACTCTGAGATGGAAGGCTAGTGAACTCTATTGTTACCATACTTTAGGTATGATGATCCAAGTTTTGAGAATGGTAAAATCATCCCATTCCAAAGCTAGTCTTTAAAGAAGTGGTAAAGGAGAGCCCACACATGAAATTAATTATCACCTACTTTAAATCATTAGACACATTAATTTTAGGCCTGCAAATTTCAAAAACTAGACGTCTGCATTGCTTTGAACACTACATAGCATGAGCAATTTACTCTTGCCATCACTTTCAGGATTTTGGTCTCAGCTCATTGTCAGTATGCTGACTTCCTCAATCAAAGACAAGCATACAAAAGAGTGTTTTATATATACATGTCACTTTAGAGTATCTGATTAAATTTGGATATTTGATTTATATCTTCTATTTCCTAAAATCATCACAACTGTCATATGATATACTGGCCCAACCAAACAGCATATTTTACAACTGAATTTTACTCTCCAACTGAGACTGTGTAATTGTTTTTATTTTAGTAAATGAACTAGACGATTCTGCCTGATCCTGTCATGGGGACATGAATTCAATACTGACAAATTCACCTCTCCCCCGAGTCCTCATGACCAGAATAAATACTTGGCAGATAATGATCTCAATTAAAAGTGAAGTGATTTGAAGGATTGTCTGGGCTTCTCTTCCCTTCACTGTAACCATTTCTTTTAGCCTGAGTTACTTGCTGCCCTCATCCAGAATAAAAAACTAAAACAAAATGGATTTCTCTGTTCCTGTTCCCTCTCTCCCTTCCTCCCTCTGTACTGGAGTTTGAACCCAGGACTTTAAGGTTACTAGGTAGGCACTCTATTGCATGAGCCAAACCTCCAGCCCTTTTTGCTCTCTAATTTGGAGATAAGGTCTCATTTTTGTCCAGGCTGGCCTGGACTGCGGTCCTATTTTATGCTGTTGCTATAGCAGTGATGACGGATGTATGCCATCATGCCCAGCAACTGGTTGGGAGCTTTATACCTGGGCTGTCCTCAAACTGTGATCCTCACCTCAGTCGTCTAAGTAGCTAGGATTACAGGCGTGAGCCATCATGCCTGGCTTTTCTACTCTTATTTGGAAGCACAACCAAACCATAAAACTACAATTATGAGATTTCTTTTCATGATTCAGTATTAGACTGCCTCTTATATCAGTAGAACAGTACTCTTCAGAAAGGATATTTACTGATGGGAATTCCACCTCTGCACCATGGCTGTAGTGGCAAAAGATGTGTAAATAACCAACTTTTGCTCCTGATCCAACAGCTGTTTCTAGAAGTTTAACAATCCAAGCTTTCTCCTTTAAAGAAAATGGTGTTTGAATACTGTTAGAAATCTCGCAAGTACAGAGGAAGATGAACCTAAGCATTAATTCTTAGGGTCACAGAGAAGCAGAGATGAGACTCAAACCTAGAAATCACAAAACTGTTGCTTACTATGTTCATGACATTTGATAATGTAACTTGATTTATTTAAGTATTATACTTTAAGTACTGTCAACTATTACTTAAATAAGTAACATTTACATACATTTGTTACTTATAGTTATATAGAATATATTTGAGACCTTAATGAGATATGTGATTCCCTTATGGAGGATTACTTATGTTTCTAAATTGGCTATCACAAATTGGTCTTTATTATAAACTAATCGTTTTATTTTTAGGTGGTGTCCCAAACAAAATAAGTTTGAAATAGTTTGTGTGAAGAATTAAACAGGGTTTTTTCTTGAATAATAAGCAAAGTAATTATAGAAAAACAGAAAGTATAGAAACACATATTAATCACTACCAAAGCTAAATGTTTTTTCTTCCCAACAGCTACCCATAAAATTAACACTTGTTTCACTTAATATACTAAAGCACAAAAAGTCAAAAGAAAGTCTTTTACACTGTTTTTAAAGTAGACACCTACTTTAGAAGTTCAAATATTTATTAAGCAAAAGTGGCTTAAGGGTTTTCAAAGAAAACATAGTTTCCAACTATAAAGAATACATCCAACTGGGAAAAAAGCACCCTCATACACTGTTGGTTGGAAGGTAAATTAGTGTAGCCACGATGGAAATCAGGACAGAGGGTCCTCAAAAAATTAGAAATAGAAATACCATTTGATCCTGCTACTACTACTGTTGGGCATCAGATCATCCAAAACACTATACCAACAGTCTTTGGAAATAACTGCTAATACCCATTTTATCTGAAATCCCACAAATCTTGAGGTTTCTTGGGTTTGTGCTTGAATAAAATATTTACAGAAGTTCTTCTCAATGATTTTTAATGAAACCACTATTCTTTTAAGTACAAGGAATGACACAAAATGATTAAACACTCTAGAGATAACATGACATTTAAATGTACTATTATTAAACAGGCATATTATTAACTGTTGTAGAGATAGGAATATTAAAATTTTTGGTCAGGTTTCTATAGTACTCCTCATCAGAAGAAAAGATGAAAAGGAATTTATAAAACTAGGACACTGACAATACCATTTTTTTTCCTTTTTTTGGTGGCACTTGGGTTTGAACTCAAGGTCTCATGCTTGCTAGGCAGGCACTCTACCATGTGAGCCACTCCATCAGCCCTTTTTCATGTTGGGGATTTTCAAGATAGCGTCTCTTGAGCTATTTGCCTGGGGCTGGCTTTGAACCTTGATCTTCCTGAAACTCAGCCTCCAGAGTAGCTAGTACTACAGGCATGAGTCATGGGCACCCAGCTATCAAGTAACAATAGAAGATGGAAGAGGCTATATTTGCAACATATATTATTCATGTAGCTAAAGGCCATAGACATTATTTGTGCATACTTCTATCTCAATTTAGTAAACACTTGGTGCAGTTATGATAGAAACAGACAAGGTTAAACAAGGTCAAAAATTAACTGTGGTTAGAGTGGTTGTTTTTATTCTAGCTGTACTTTGTAATTCTGAAGGAGTTTTGAAAAATCTCAATGCTAAGGTCTCCTTCTAGACCAGTCATATGAGAACTCATTGGGGAGTAGTCCAGACATCAGTATTATTTTTAAAATTTCTCAGATGATTCCAGTGTGAGG